TGTATTCCTCAAGATATCGTCAAAATAAGCCAAAAATGATCAAAGTTTATTACAAAATTACTCTATTTTAGATTATTTCGAGTTTATTCGCAAAACTTCTAGATCCTTTTTGCTCAATGGCTCAATGATCAGTATCATTTTTAGAACAAAAAAAAATCTTTACTTGCTTTAATTAGTACGCAGGTACTCTTTGTTTGTTTTAAGTAAAGAAACAGTTTTTGTTTATTCTAATTAGAACAAAGAAGGTGCAATTGACCATTTTTAAGCAAAAGAAGAGTCTTAAAACAAATACTTTTATAAAAATGCAATTTTAAGTAAGATTAACATGCATTTCTCCTATATGGTGCAATACCTGAATAGCAAACCTTAACTTCAAAAAATCATATCTTGAAAACTACTCGGTATATTATTTTAAAAATTTGGATTTTTACTAATAAAAACACGATGATAATAATGAAAAAAATTACTCGTAGGGTTTTTCTTAGATTATTTCTATTTATTTCGAACTTCTTCGAACACTGTTCGAAGAAAAGTTTGCCAATATTCAATTTCAAGTTTCATATCATCCTAAAGGACAAAGCCATCCCTTTAAAATGGTCTTTATTTGAAGGAAATCGGCCTAAGAGTTATTGAGTAATGATTTTTTAAAGTTAAAGTATTTTAAATTCATTTAAATTAGAAAAAAATTAATTTGTTCAAAGTGTGTGGACTTTTTGAAATTTTTTTTAGTGCACTTGATTTGTCTCACTCAGACGAAAAAAATGATATAAAATTTGTCAAGTTGTCACGACATGACTTTTTTTATCGCCTTGTGTTAACGCACTTTGAGTTAATAAATGCAACTAAGATACAAGTCGCAAAAGCATATCATTACTGAAGAATAAGCTTGAAGATTGACTATTAAAAGTAAAAAAAAGAAACATGCTTTTTCTTCAGTTCAACCGAAAAGCAAGGTTAGAACAAACAGCCACCCGAGCATCTTCTCCACTGAAATCTGCGTTTGTAAACCTAACAAAAACACCTAAATACTCACGAGACGATTTTGCAGTAAAGGTAATAGGACTATCCCAGTCCTCTTTGGTCGACTTAGGCTCAGTATCATCCTCGTGTAATACCTCACTTATGTAATCTAATGGAGGGAAGAAAAATTGAAACTAGGTCTAGGTGGGGGCTACCATTAGAGGCATTTTTGAAAACTCACCGTGTGAAAATTGTTTGGCAGTTCCATTTTGCTGAAATTCGGGGAAACTCACATGGTTTTGCTTACCGTCCTAGAGAAATCCATTAGTTGTGCTAACAATGCAAAAAAGTTGACTTACTTTACTCATCTTCTTACTGTGCCTTTTATGGTGGTGTTTCTTGTCGGCCACCAAGCGTCTCATGTTAAAATGCATCCGATAATTGACTTGAGTCGAGAGATCTCGATCGTTGACAGCATGTCTGCTGTAACTAAGACGACGATGCTAAAAAAAAATTCTCTTGTAACACTTTGTTTTTATTAATTTGGGATAATTACCCTTCTGGCAGGTTTGACCAATTCTTCGGCTAACAAATGATGAATTTTGGCATCTGTTAAGTCTTTCTTAGAAGGGTTGTATTCCAATTCTTGCATGTCTACGTTCCACGAACTCGAATCTAGATGACTAAAACTAGTACTATAACAAAAATGTACAATAAGCGTGCTATAAAAAAGGGCCCAGAAACCGCGTGTCGGCTGAAGTTTGAAAACTAGATTTTTTTAATTGCCAACAAGTGAATCCTGAGCCTTAAAAGTCTAAAGTAATTGCAGAAATTATTAAAAGGTACAATTTCTTTATTCTACCGCTACTATAAAAGTAACACTTCATTCTGTTCAATTTTATCAATAAAATAATGTAAGGTGAATATAGAGAGTGGTTCAGCCTTTTATCATCAATTAAGAAAATTCAAAAACAAAACACATTTATTTTGATTTGTTTATTTTGAATAAATGTTTTATTGCTCAAAATTAATCTAAGATTTATAAAGTAAGAAGGTTGCCTCGTAACTTGGAGCGAGTAAGATGGCTATATGGTGGCGTCAGTGATGCTCGATCTTAAATTTTTTTACTCAATTTCTCAAAAACTATGCATCGTAGAGTATTTACTAGAAATGTAAAAAACGTTATATGGATCAATTTTAAAGTTGAAAATTTTTATGATTTTTGTCGTGATTTAGACAGAAAAGATCAATGTTCTACGATAAGTACTGATAAAATAAAAAACTTAAAAAATTTTAAATTAAAATATTGCAAGTTTTAACAAAATATTTTTTTTTAATCTATGTATAATCGTGTATCGGTTTTTTTCATTTTCACAGAAAATAAAACTTATTATAAGGGCATTTGACTGTAAAAAAATGGTGGGGTTACAATGGCTTTTTAAGGCTATAATGAATTTTTTTCGTTTTCTCAAAATTTGTTTATAATATAAACTTTATTTTTTTCAAGTGCCATCTCGTGTATCGATTTTTTTCATTTTTGCAGAAAATAAAGCTTATTAAAAGGGCATTTGGCCATAAAAAATGGTGGGGTTACAATGGCTTTTTAAGGCTGTAATGAATTTTTTTCGTTTTGTCAAAATTTGTTTATAATACAAACTTTATTTTTTTCAAGTGCCATCTCGTGTATCGATTTTTTTCATTTTTGCAGAAAATAAAGCTTATTATAAGGGAATTTGACTTTAAAAAAATGGTGGGGTTACAATGGCTTTTTAGGGCTCTAATGAATTTTTTTCGTTTTCTCAAATTTTTTTTATAATACAAACTTTATTTTTTTCAAGTGTCATCGAGTGTATCGATTTTATTCATTTTTGCAGAAAATGAAGATTATTAAAAGGGCATTTGACCATAAAAAATGGTGGGGTTACAATGGCTTTTTAAGGCTGTAATGAATTTTTTTCGTTTTCTCAAAATTTGT